AAGATATGGAGACATTATATTTATGGAACCAAATGCAAAATCTATATGGATCATAAAAGTCTCCAATATCTCTTTTCTCAGAAGGAGTTGAATATGAGACAAATGCAATGAATGGAGCTATCAAGGACTATGATTCTGAGATACTTTACAACCTAAGTAAAGAAAATATTATAGCCGATGCCATGAGTAAAAAAGTGATTCCTGAAGGAAAGAGATCTAGATCATTGAAGATTGAAGTGATCTCAACGATTACAGAGAAGATCAAAGAAGCTCATACAAGGGCTCTAGCTGAGAGCAATCTGAAGAAGGAACGTCTAGGCAAGACGTTCATGTTTGAAAAAGGCAAACAAGGGTTGAAGATGTTTAAGAATTGCTTTTGGGTGCCAAAGATGGGTGGGATATGGGATCTTCTCATGGAAGAATCTCAGAAGACTATGTATTTTATACACACAAGCAACACCAAAATGTACTTAGACTTGAAGCCCTATTATTAGTGGCCGGAAATGAAGGTCAACATAGCAACTTACGTAGCCAAATACATAACTTGTGTAAGAGTGAGGGCACAACATCAGAAGCCATATGGGAGTCTGGAATCCTTACTAGCACCCATAGGGAAATAGGATGATGTTACCATAGAATTCATAACAAAGTTTCTGAAGTCAAAGAGAGGTCACGAAATGATATGGGTTGTAGTAGACCAACTTACGAAGAGTGTGCATTTCATAGCCGCACGAGAGAATTGGTCTATGCAGAAGTTAGAAGAGACCTATGTAAGGGAAATCGTAAGGATTCATAGAGTGCCCTTATCTATCGTTTCAGACAGGGACAATAGATTCACCTCCAGATTTGGAAAAATCTACACGAGGAGTTAGGTATGAAGTTGTGTTGAAGTACTGCCTATCATCCGCAAACAGACGAACAGAGTGAGAGAACTATCCAAACCTTGGAGGATATGTTGCAGGCATGTGCCTTAAAGTTTCCGGGTAGTTTAGGATGACCATATATCTTTGTCCAAATTTTCCTACAACAATAATTATTACTCAAGCATCAAGATGCCTCCCTACGAAGCACTATATGGAAGGAAGTGTAGAATGTTGCCGTGTTGGCTAGAAGTAGGAGAGAAGCATTTTGCGGGTTTGGATATAGTACATCAAACCACCGAGAAGCTTAAAGTCATTAGGGAAACGATGTTAGCTACCCAAAGTCGTCAAAAGAGCTACACATATAAGAAAAAGCAACCGATAACATTTGATGTGGGTGATCAAGTGTTACTTAAATCTCTCCATGGAAGCGACTTATTAGATTCGGAAAGTGTGGGAAGTTGAATCCTTGTTTCATAGGACCATTCAAGGCACTTCAAAGGACAAGGAATTAAGCTTACAAGCTTGAATTGCCCATCGAACCAGAAGGTATCCATAATATCTTTCACGTTTGTTATTTGAGGAAGTACTTGGGAGAAAAAGTGGATATGCTTCCATTTTTAGAGTTAAGGATCGACGAAGATAGGCAGCTGGTTGAAGAGCCTATAGAAATCATCGACCGTTAGACAAAGAAGTTACGTCGTAAGATTGTTAACATAATGTTAGTGAGATGGAAACACCCAACAAGGTCAAATCTCACATGGGAACCAGAAAGTGACATGAAGAGTCGCTATCCACATCTGTTTACTGACACACGATTCTGGGACGGAATCATCTTATGGGGGAGAGAATTGTAACACCTACGTTTCCAGCTAGGCTTATTAATTAAACATGTAACCTTTGTTTTCAAGTCATGTAGTCATTTTGTGAATGAATAAGATAGGATTATTCATATATTTTGTGGTTATGTGTTTTATATGATAGTAACCTATATATAAAATAAATAAGATTTAAAATACACGTAAAAAATAAAAGATCATTTAGGAAAAATAATCTAAGCCTAGTTATAGTATTCATAACTAGGATCCCGTACATATCTAGAACGCCTCAATCCAACTTAGGAAGAGCCAAAGTCACACGATAAAATCGGTGCGGCTACGGATAATGTAAAAAGTGAATCTGGGTTAGATTGGTTTTTAGCTTAGGAAGTCTAAACATAATTCATAGATGTTGTAAAAGCGAATTCGCGCATATAGGTATCTTCTAAATCTGAATTCACAAAAGAAAGTTATGATTTTTCTAAAATTCGACGCAACAGTGTGGGCACCGATGTTGAATTTTAAATCGATAGACTATTAGCCAAAACAATCTAAATGAGAGTGAAAGATCTCGCTCACTACTAGAAAAACAGCCTTTTACGACGCTCATTGCGCGTCGTAAAAGGCTCAGACGACGCGCAAATGCGCGTCAAGGAAGGCCCTGTCATAAAGAGAGACGACGCGCATTTACGACGCTCATTTACGACGCGCAATTACGACGCGCGTTTACGACACGCAATGCGTATCAAGGAAGGCCCTGTCATAAAGGAAGATGACACGCATCCGCGTATCGTAACCTTACGACGCGCGTGTTAATGACACACAATGCGTATCATTAAAACACCTGTCAAGAAAGGCCATGTCATAAATGAATATGACACACATTTTTGCGGATCATAATTTTTATTTTTCTTTTAAAAAAATTTATTTATATATTTACTAATTTTCAAATTAAATTTGCATTTCATGTCTCATAATAGAAAATAAAATACCATATACAAAAAATACAATCCATTACACAAAAGTTAATGTCATACAAAATACAAAATAAAATACAATAAATAAGAAAGATAATTCATTGCACTAAAATGTCAAATACAAATAATCATTGCTAACTATATAACCTAATACTACATTGCTATTAAAGGACATCATCATAACTCACTGAAGGTCTTGGAACAATGTTGTCGTCATCAAATCTTACACCAACCTTGCTTTAGTAGATGACTTTCACACAATCAATTTCAAACAATTATACAAATAATCATAGGAGGCATACAAGATATCGAAAAATTTATAAGATTATCCAACCAAAATAAAATAACATAAAAAAAACATACCTGTTATATGGCAGTGGCAGCGGGATATCTCCGGGTTGGCTTCAAAGGTGGTATTCCGGTGGTGGCTGGTGGGCACCAAAAAACAACACATCAGTAAAAAACAAATCAAAGAATCCTAACCGGTTATGTGGGCAGTGGCCACCGGATTTTGGGGGTGTTCAACGGTGGTCCTCCGGTGGTGGCTTGTGGTCATCGGGGATATATTGGAACACAACAACAAACTTCAACAATTGTATACCAACAAGAAATTACTAACCGTAACTCTATATGGATGATTGCTTTTATGAGGATAAACCTCAGAACCAAAAGAAAAGCACTCAACACATACATCAAAATCAGAGCAATAAGGACTCAACACAAAGAAGAGGACCTAACTTTAACTTCATGTAATTTTAGTTAATAATGGAAAAGAATCCTCTCCCTTTGTTACTTCCTTTTCCACAACAGCTCTCTTTGTTTTTTCTTTTTCACCAACACCGGACTTCTCCCCATTTTCTTTCTTTCCACTTTTATCTGCAAACATTATTAAAATAAAATAATAATAATAATAATAATAATAATAATAATAATAATAATAATAATAATAATAATAATAATAATAATAATAATAGTAATTACCAACCCTTTTGCTTTATCACTAAATATTCAGAGGTTCAGGGTTTTCAGGGAAAAATGATAATGACCTTTATCTTTATCTAAATTCACTCGATTGAAATTTCCTTTGTTTTTCTTACTTTGACTTGTGATACTTGCTAGAACAGAAGAAGCAATTTCATTGGCTCCATAACTAATGGAATTTAAGATTCCACCAGATGATGATCTACCAAGTCCTTTAACATATAAAGGGGATAAAATCAATATTTTAAAAGGATGACCCCTCTGGTTGATCTATCACCTCAGTCCACCTTATAGCCCATTGGTGTAAAACTTGCGCTCAACCTGCTGTTATGAGTCCAAAGCAATATTCAGTAGAAAACTCAAGATTCAAATGAATCTTATTATGCACCTAGCTAGCTTGTTTAGCTATACATATAATTAAACAACTTTAAAAAGGGTACATAATGAGTGAACATACTGCCAATTGGCTATTAATTTTAAAGACTATTGCATGTGTCGTGTAGTGTTAATTGAACCAGAAAGCAATCAAGTGAAACTCTATCATATATATATATATATATATATATATATATATATATATATATATATATATATAGTTAGAGAGAGAGAGAGAGAAAGAACCTGTTGTGCCTGAAGACAAGCATATTTCCAAAAATGCCCTTGCAGGACAACAACCTGTTGTGCCTGAAGACAAGCATATTTCCCTTGGACACCCTTTGCAAGCCCAACCAGAGAACATGGTGACAAGGGCAATATCGGAAGGAGGAGCTAAGAAAAACCATGTGTTAAGAGTTAGAAACTTAGACTTCACAATGAAGAAATAAATAAATAATGGTTTGAGAAAAATTTGACAAAAATAGACAAACCTGCCATATGCATATTGTGGAGAAATGATTTTGATTCCTCTTCAGTAAGTGATCTAACTAACCATGGTAAAACACATTCAATTACTCTCAAAGGCATTACACATAAACTTTGGTATAAGAGCTTTCATTGTCTATGCTTCATCTGAATCACATAAACTTTGGTATAAGAGCTCTTTTAGGAGTAAAATGCTTGTGTTCAAAGTTATGCTCACATGTTCACTATTTCACTCATTCACCTGAAGTTCTTCATTTTGAAATGTTTCTCAATGATGGACATGATATGATCAACATGTGAGCATAACTTTGAACAAAATTCAGATGAAGATGAATTTGCTCCATCTTTTTCTATGCTTTCAATCAAACATCTAAATTTCTCAAAGTCACTCTCTTCTTCTATGTGTTCTTGGGCGAATGACAACTTAACATCTACAGCATGGAATATAACTCTATCTTCCGCAATACTGCATTCAAAAGGATAAAATTAGTATCAAATTATCAATGTTTCAAAATCTTCAGTGTCTGCAGCCATCACTACAAATTCAGAAAACCCCTATTCAGGTCCCTTGTAACTGTTTTTAAAAAAAAAAATAGAAGTTAGAACAAACATTAAGAACAAAATATCAAAAATAAATATCAAAACAAGTCAGATTAATATTCACAAAGTTGATAAACTTTGGTTAAGAAAAAGAACAAGAAACATAGCCAATTTAGTTAGGCATTGATGTGGTGAAGAAACCAAAGGAAATAATGGATTTTTTTTTTCAAAAGAAGCTACAGGGGGGAAAAAACAGTTTTCGAGTCAGGGGAATCAAGGGAATTTCTCGAAAAATGAAGGTTCAGGGGTTTTTGCTGGAAACCGCAAGCAGGGGCAAAAAGGGAATTATCCGAAAATTGGAAATTTTGGGGCTTCTGATGGAATTCGCTATCAGGGGTATAATGGGAATAATCAGGAAAATTTGGAATTTAGTTTTGATAGAGGTGGGAAGACAGGAGGTAAAAATGGGCAGGGGTATTATGGGAATATTCAACCAATGAAAGGAAAGTCTAATGATTCAAAGATTGAACAGGGGAAAAGTTGGAAAAGTAACAAGGTTATGGGAAAGAACAAGGATGGGGGTGATGTTTTGGAAGTCAAAGGGTTTGTGGGGAATAATTCTATGAGTCGGCCTGACCAGGAAGCTAAAAAATCAGAAGCAGGGGTGATTTGGAACATCGAATTGGAAGGATTGGGACAAAATTCTTACCATACTAGTTACCAATTCAAATATAAAACTGATCTGGAACATCGAATTGGAAGGATTGGGACAAAATTAGCGATCAATATGAACTGAAAACAAATTTAGCGAATCACTTTGTTCTTCCATTTCTATCGAGGCGATGCTTAGGGTAACAACAAATTTAGCTCCTGTTTCATGATCACGTCTATTTTCAAATGTCTGAAAAGGGTAACAACACGTATTACAGACTGATCTACAAAGAAATTTATCCGAAACTAAACTCACAAATTACACTGAGATGAGTTGTACCTGCACGAAATTGGACATCAAAGTGGTAGCTGCAGCAACGATGAGCAATGGTCTGCGAGGATATGTAAGGCGGAAAGGAGAAGAAAGCGTAGCGGCGAGCACTGGAGGAGATGAGGTTAGACACGAACGGTGGAAGAAGGCGGTGGCTGGGATGGAAGTGGTTGTAGAACAGAGTAGGGAAGAAGATAGAGGATCGATAAGCGGAGGAATTGAAGCCATCTTCGGTGGTGTTTGTCGGTGTGTTGTTAGATAACAAGTGCCGATCGATCCCCAGTGGAGATTTCACGGAAGCGGTAGGAAAAAACGAAACCCTAATACACGCCTGGATCGCACAGCCGATAAAATCGCTCAACATCTGCACAATAAATGAAAATCGTTAGAATTCGAAAACATGTGCACAATAAATGAAAATCGTTAGAATTCGTCGGCTGTAAATCACCCAAAAAAACTGTAAAATAAAATGCAGTTTAAGAAGCAATTAGCGTTAATTTTGAATTGGGGAAACAAACCTTAGTTCTTTTTTCTTCGCCATGGAAAAGCACACAAACCTTATCATGCTTCCCTACCAATTCCTAATCGAAAACCATGATTTCTAGAGCTTGAACTTTAGGAGGGGGAAGGAAGGAAGCATCGTAACTAGAGCAAGAGGGAAACAAAAATGGAGGATAAAAAAGAAGCGGGTTTTTAAAATGCTTGGGGATTTCATTTTCCCCAGTGTCTACTAAAACCCTGGCCTAGCACGTGCTAGAGAGAAGGGAGGTGGCGATGGCTTAGGGTTTACAGAGAGATGGGAGGTAGAGAATGAAGGGAGATCTAGAGGAGAGAGTATCAGAGAGAGGAGAGTGGATTGCAAGGATGAAAGATAGATAGAAGATAGAAAAAACAAGGCGGGTTTTTCAAAATTTTGGGGATTTCGTTTCCCCCTTGTCTACTAAAAGCGCGTTTCATTAACATTATAAAGCGACAGGTAAAGACTACGCGCGTTTAAGATAAAGTGCCCTCCGTGTTTTTCATTTTTTTTCTTGAAACACTAAATTAAGGGCACACAGTAATGCGTGACGTAAATCCTAATTTTTTTTTGAAGAGATGACACTATTTTAAGGGCACGTCCTTTTGCGTTTCATTAATCAGCGCGTGTCGTATAAAGCGCGTCATTAAAGGTCTATTTTCTAGTAGTGGCTGTTAGGATTCCAACGATATAAAAACCATCGAAAACGAATGCCAGATGTGAGAGTTATGCATTTTATATGGGCTTTAATAGGCTAAACATGTGTAAATAAAATAAAGTCAAAATTAGCCAACGGGGTCTAAAGGAAAGTTGTAGATATCGTCGAGAGCTTTCGGTGGATATAAAGAACGTAAAAATATAGCTAGTATGAAGGATTTATACAATTTTGAAAATCTATAAAACATCACACGCGCACGCGTGTCACACGTAGGTTGCGCGCGAAGTCAACCACATAACCCCACCCAGATTGTGCCACGTGTCGGCAGCCTATTAGATCGACATCACCCTTATGCGCGACACACCTCCTATTGCATGGCACACAAGAGTCGAAACTCACCTATAAATACCAACTCATTCTTTCACTCCTCCCCATACCCTTCAGTCGATATCTCTCTGAAAATTTTGATAGTTAGCCCATTTTTCTTCATCTACCCTGCAGTGAAGCCCTGCGACACCCTCGAGTACTCAACTTGCCATAATCTTTGTGTAGGAAGGACCTAAGTCAGTGTTATGCCAATTTAGATCCCGATTATCTTTTATTGTACTCTATAAGTGAGCTACACTTACTTTGCCTCTGTGTAATTTATAATTATAGTTCTTAGTCGTTGCTAGGATCTTATAACTAAGATTTATCGACGATTCCAAGTTGTTATGTTGATTGATGTACTATGGGAGAGGTGTATAGAATGGTCACGTCGGCTTGGTTGTTGAAATGATCCTGCCTTACGACTGTCATGCCTGGCTGATCCTTACTTGTTTGATATTTAAGTAGATTTTGGAATTGTTGAGGAATCTAAACTCTTAAGATAATAGTTCCACGTAGTATGAAACTAGACTAATACGTAGCATTATGTACATCTAGGTCTTTCGAGAAAGGTGTAAGGCAAAGCTCTACCTGATTCACCAATCACCAGATACTTTGTCAAGTAAGTGTGTAGTTATTATCAAGAACATAATCTTAATTTAAAAATATCCATATAATAAATGTTTCTTGTATTGTTTGTGTTATGTACTATTTATAAAGATAAGATAGTAACATTCGGATCAGGAATTATTGTAGAAATTAATTGCCTTTAGATATGGGTCTTGCCTTAGATTAGGAATAAGACTTATAAAGGATTTCTTGGTGTTGAATAGGCTTGACATCGATTAGGTCTCATAGTTGGGTTATAGTATAGGACTATATCAGAGTGTAATCATCCTCATCTTGGGATCACCAGAACTGGTGGGTACCAATCAGACCACCAGATTATATGTTTGGGTTATTGACTATAGTAGATGACCAATACTTAGCTGTTCTTGGCAGGCTTGTGAATTACGTTGCTAGCATAGCTTTATAACCCATGGACATAGATGAAATGGAAAATCATACTCATCAAAATCTTTGAACATTGATTGCCTTATATGACTTACACTAGCCAAGAACTCCCCTAGCAGGTGTAGCCAAATAGTTGCTTAGAAAGTTCATCCGGTAAAATGATTCTTCCAGATGCTTGTCGAATTAGGATTTGCGAGGATCGATTAGGATTGGGTAAATGGTCTTAGGACAGGTTATATATTTACACCTGATATATGTCTTGTAGGAATGATATTTTATCAATAAAAAGTTTCGGGCTTGAAAACCCTACGCATCTCACCAGGTTTCCCAAACCTGACCCACTTATTTTATTCTATCAAAGGTATTGGAGCCAAAGTTGAAATTGCCTAGTTATGATGCTGAGTGGAATAAATGATAGGCTTACCTTAGTTATTTTAGGACCTTTTTATTTACGTTGTAACGTATGTTCGGATATAAACGAATCACATCCCGAAGGTTTTAATAAAATATCTTTTGTTATTTCAAAAATGTTTATTTAACTCGAAACTTCTACATTTCAATACTTAAAAGCGTAAAGAAAATTTTTAATTTGGTTCTAAAAAATAGGGGGTGCCACAAAGGGTACGTAACGCGTAACCCTATGATGTCCCGTATAAGCCAAGCAATGCTCTACGCAGGGCATGGAGATGGAGTATGCAAGGCATACTCGGTCTGTATGCTGACCTTTGAATTTTTGGCCTGTTAACTTTTGGTCAACTGTTAGGGTAGGTCTCAAGAAGGGCAAAATGATGTTTTGTCCTTAGAAGAGTTAGACTTATTCAAAGGATTTCTTGGTTTGAGATTTTTACCTTGGTTTTGACGTAAAGGTGTTTTGATGGATTGATAGTGTGAAAGGTTCTGAGGTCAGTAGCTCTAGCTAGTTTTTTCTCTGACAGTTGATTAAGGTGAGTTTTCCTCATTGTATTTGTGGGTTGAAGGCATGAATTCCGACCCACTAGGTTGTGTATGTATCCTGGTATATTGGATGTTGCTATGCTATAGTGAACTGTTAAATTGGTAGATCCGTATGATTATCTATACTTGTTGGTTATCTGTTATGTTTATCTGTTATATATGTCGACATATTATGGTTGGGTTGAGGCAGTCTTGCTTTGTGTTGAAGGTCAAGATACTGAGGGCGGTCCGATAGGTTGTAGGCCTAGCGAGGTGGTCCAGTCAGGCCGTAGAACCATAGAGCGGTCCAGATAGGTTGCAGGCCTAGCGAGGCAGTCCCATCAGGCTGAATTCTCATATATATTGCATGTTGTTATCTGTTTGGTTATGTGTGGTATTTTGGGGGAAATTCACTAAGCTTTGGCTTACAATCTGATTTTATGGTTTCAGGTACTTCATTGTCCTGGATTTTTATCTAACTTATGATTTTGGGATACTCTGATTCATGATTTTGGTTCTTGGAAACTGTGTTTTGTATAAATTATATATTTTGAAATGTTTTTAAAATGAAATTTTTGTCTTGATTTTTAGGATGTTACACTAAGATCTCCAACACTAGTACTCCCGTCTTGGACATTGAGCGTGGTGGTGCTAACAAGAAGAAGAAGTTTTATCATACTAAGGGTAAGGACAAGGTTGGATCTTCCAACCAAAGTGTTAGTAGAAAGATCGGTTATAAGATAACTCCTAACAACGATCCCAAGGAGGTCGCGTGTTTTTATTGCTAAGAAAAGTGTCACTAGAGACATAACTATCCGAAGTACCTTGAAGATGTGAAGAAGAACAAGTCCAAGGGTATTGGCACTACAAGGATTTATATGGTTGAACTGCATAATATGTCAACATCTATTTCTTGGGTTCTTGATACTGGATGTGGTACTCACATTTTCTTGGATATGCAGGGACTAATGAAAACTAGATGGTTGAAGCATGATGAGTTGAACCTGATCATGGGGAACATAAGAATTGCACTTGTTACAAGGATTGGGGAATACAAACTCGTGCTAAATAATGGTGTTTCTTTTAGTTTATTATATTGTTGATACTCACATGATATGGCTCGCAACATTTTTACGCATTGTATAAGGATGAGTTTCGTTTTACTTTTGATAATAATAATGGTGGTATTTTAGTTTTCAAAAATGCTTCCTTTATTTTACGTGGTCGTGGGTTCGAGTCCCACGGATGGCGCCAAATGTTGTGACAGACTCTACAGGGAATTGGTCATTTATGGACGATTTGGTTTTGGAGATTTACCTAAGAACA